TACTTTGTTCTTATTACTTAAAAAATTCCCCAAATACTTATGAGAATCTGTCTTAAACTCAGAGTCTGAAAGACACTTCTCTTAACTTCTCCATTATTCACACTCGTGTTTTCTCACTCTCCAATCTCAACAGATTAATACTCAACAAGTTCTGTGGTCTAGATACTGTAGTTCTAAGAAAGTTCCAACCACATGTGAATTCATTGAGTTTCCATGACTCTGTCAGATAAGTTTTAGAATTATTTCTATTTTACAGTTGAGAAAAAAGAAGCACAGAGAGTTTAAATAACTTTCCCAAGGTCACATATTCAAATACAAGTGATGTGACTCCAGAATCCATGTTATTAACGTCTACATTCTATGGCTTACTTGTGATTGTGCAAAACCTTTTCAAAATTTTTATTTTACTTAATTCTAAATACTCCTGAAGTATATTATCATCATTTTATGGAAAATTATGTGTATAAAAAAAAGCCAGATTAAGCAAAATATCATGGAAGCATGGAATAAAATCTAAAAATCCTAACTTTCAATTAAAGGCTTCTTTTCTGACATCATGGAATTAAGTAAATGGGTCAGGTGGTAAAAGTAGAGATGGTCCAGCATTGTTGAACCCTTGTCATGTTCCAGGCACTCCGTGTATGTTATACTCCTGTCAACAACCTTGTTATTGTATCTCATTTAAAAGATTAGGAATCTAAAATTCAAAGCAGTTAAGGAAATTGCCCAAGAGTATATGAGTGAGCCAGGATACTCAGACTGGCCTGACCCAAAGCCTGTGGCGTTCCTTTGAGCATGAGTATGGCATGAAAGAGAGAAATGAAGACTGCCAATGAGAATGAGAAGGCAAAGGGAGAAGCCACATAGTTGTAGGGTTATTGTAACACTCTGTCCATAAACATCAATTACCTGAGTTTCACTTTTCCTGTTCTCTAACCTAGTCTTTTTTTCCCTTTTGGGCTCTTGGGATCCTATCTCAGTGCCATCCCAAAGCATCAGAAGGAGGAGGAGAAAATGAGGGCTAAAGAAGGGAAGTGCAAGATAAAGGAATCTTTTCTCATTTGGCACAGTCCTCTGACCATGGAAGGTAGAGTAGATGGAGTCTCCATAGCACTTTTTTTGTTGTTGTTCTGATGCTCATCTATCTTTTACATATACCCCTTAAGTCCTCTCCTAGCCAACCTAGCCATCTTGAGAGGACCCTGATAAGTTAATGATATATGGAAAAAGTAAGTAGAGTATTATCTGCTGATTCCTCTTCAGGCACTTTCCCATGCTTTCATTATTTCTGTCCAATGCATCCATATTCCTATTACTCTCTATATCCAATAAACCCTAAAATCTCATTAATATTACTAACATCTGTTTCATTTTGTTGGGACTCAAACCAATAAAGCTTTATCTTTTCTACTTATAGCTGGTTCTTAATTACTCATATTCTACCAGCCCTCCTTACAGCCTTTATGATCTTTCATTACTTACCCATCTTTTTCATATTATAATTATCTTCACCTAATATTCTCTCCTTGAATAGATTGTCTATACAGCAAGTTCAACCTAAATATCATACATTGTATCTAGAGAAGTTCCAGTCTTTCCATGCTTAATCTAATTTTCTCATGATTTATCTAATCCCTAAAGATCTGTCAGTCAGTGTATGTTTTCAAATATGTCAGATTTTTGATAATCTATTTAAATTATCCATGGCTGAGCATTTCTATCCAAATCCTTTATATATTCTTCCTTTAATATACTCTTAAAATTCATGTGTTCTGCCCATATTGTATCTTTCTTCATTTTTCCATTAACCCATGAATCCTTATAGCTGTTATAATACTTTTTATAATCAGTAACTAAAAGTGAAATACTGTCAGAAGGAGAGAAAGGCATACTAGTAAATAATCTATCCATGTAGGACGTGGGTAGTTTTGAAGGGGTGAGAGCTAAGGGCCTGAAATGTGAAAGATAAATAAGAATTCCTGCGGTCAGGATTGGTGTTCTACAGAGAGAAATATATGTAACAAGTGACAGAGTGACAGAACATGACATGTTTAGATAAAGGAGGGTAGTGAGTAATGACTGATTTTCTGTGGAACAGTTAAAAGGAAATACATTTTGATTTTTATTGGAAGATTTTATATGTCTTCTCCCAAACTGCATACTCTTAAGGATTTCTACATAAATATCACTATGGAAATGAGAAGATATTAGAATTATGAGCATTCAGGCTGGAGGAAGAAAGACAAGTTAAGAGGCTCCTGACATAATTAAATTAGGAAATGGCAAGGACTTTATATACAAGCCTATGAGGAAGACAGTGAAAGTAGGACAAGAGAAAGAGGACAAGCACTAAAGATAACTGTAAAAGTATTTTAGAAAGTTCTTGGACTAGGTGGGGGTTGTATGTGGGGGGGGAGGAAGATGAGTAAGAAAGATATAGAAAACTATGTCAAATATCTGACAGAGGCAACTGCATGCAAACTAATGCTATTCATTGTGATAAAGAAATTAAAGGCTTGGGAAATTCTAGACATACTGCATTTGAGAAACTTATGTGACATCCAGGGAATTATGTTCACTATTTGCTATACTAGTAAGGACATATAGGACCACTTCAGTTACAAAGCTCCTCTCTATGTCTCCCTGAGCAATGGCAACAGTGATATAGAAAGTAAAATGATGTATAGGGTTTAATAGGAGTGGTAATGAGAGGAACCCCACAAAATAAAGGAAAAAGGAAAGAAAGAAGAGTAAGTAATGTTCACATGAGGAAATGCCACCTGAAGCAAGCTAGCTTTCCTACTTGAAGAATAAATAGGAGCCAGCCATGCTCATGGAGAATGCAACGTGAGTGGAGCTATGCAGTCATTTTCATAGTGTGTGCTAAGAGTTGCAAAGTCTAAAATACAATGCAGATTTGGCAAGAGGTAAAGTTTTGGTGAGAGCAGTGACCAATCTTGAAGTACCTGTAGGTTTTGTTAAATAGTTTGAACATTATTTATTTTGGCAGCATTGGGGTTTGAACTCACAGCCTCTCATGCTTGCTATGCGGGAGCTCTTACTGCTTGAGCCACTCCACCAGCCCTAATATCTTGAGCATTCTTGTGTAGCAAAATGGGCCACTATGAATGGGTTTTAAATAAAGGAGTAAAATGGTCATATTTGAGTCTCATAGGGAGAGACTATAGGCAAAGATACCAATTTGGAATTCCCATGTGAGCATCAAATATGAAGATAGAAAATATTAAAAGATAAGCATGTAGGACTAAGGCCAAGAGGGTCAAAAGAACAACAAATGGAGTATGAGACAGGTATTGAGGAGAAAGGATCAAGGCTAAGGTCATGGAAGACAATTTAAGAAGCTATTGTATGACATAGAGATAGGTACAAGAGTTTAAACTCTAAGGCCTGAGAAGATAAAGCTATGTCCCTAGTATGAGTATGAGCTCCTTGAAGACTTTTATTATCCTTCTATGTACCCCAACTTTAAGCCTATCTTCTAGAACATAACTGATCCACCATAGATTTTGAAATAAATACTATTATGAATGTGAATGGTGTGAATGGAAGTAATGGATGATGCAAGCCACGGACAGAGGCATTTTATGCTTGCATTATAGTATTCTGGCAGTGAGAGAAATGTCAAGGACTCAAATATTGACAGCAGAGCATAATCAGAAGAGAAATGCAGGATAAAATCATCATCGGGGTAAAGTTTGTGAGACATTCTTTCCCTGCTAACCTCACGGGAACAGTTATAAGTGTAAAAATGCAAGGAATCTTCTTGGAGTAAATGGTACTCAGATAGTAAGTGGGACCTACTCCATTTTACTTTCTAATCTCTGTACTCCCTCTCAATGTTATGGCCTTATAGGAGCTGGGGATAAAAATAACCTTTTATTCATATCAACTACCCATGTGGAAATGCCGACTTCTATTCCACATCAGACTCAGACAAGGCTTGAAATTCTGAAAGGTAAAATTTTATCTGATATCAAGGCAAACAGAGAGAGTGCTCAACTAAATGTGTGCTTTTATATGGGTATAGACGCTAAAGGAAGGTGCTTTACTCTCATTTCAGGAGACTTTTCACAATAGTCAGAACTGACAAGATTCTCAACACTTCTGCCATACAGCATCCACTTCATAACTTAATTTCAGGCAGATCCCAGGTCATCCTCTTGAGTACTGAATACGTAGGATTTTCATTCTTCAGTTGCTGTAATCTTTAGTGTTCTGTGTTGGTCTCCCTTCTTGGTAGGAGAGAATTGTTTCCCTAGCTGAACCCAAGATGTTCTGTTCTGGATGTAAATCCAAGATGTATCTTGTATTCCAAAATTCCATGTAATCTCAATAATTTTTAGGCTCTGAGGTCCTAAATTCCTGGTTCTACCTCTTACAATCTATGTGATCCAGAACTGATAATTTAACCTTTTTATACCTCAGCTTCCTTAGCATTAAGTGGGTTTATTAATAGCATTAAGTCACAGAGTTGTTCTGAGGATCAAGTGATACCGCAAACATTTAAAAACATTGCCTAAAACAATAATGCATGATAAATACTCAACTATATTATATATTGTTTTATTCTTCCGTTCCATAATTTATTTCATTAAAACAGAGTAATGGTCCTGCTAATTATAAATTCTCACTTTAGAGAAGCCCATACTCTTACTAATTTTGGTTTGGGGGGGTTGTTTATTTACTTATTTTTCCTATGAAAATTTATTGCTAGTATGTTTTCATCACCAAAATTTATGATCTTGGTCATTTCTTCTTGTCATTATATAGGAATAAAAGAGAGACACTGGAACCTGTTATTTTTCCTGGTGAGGAATACCTGAGCAACACATGTTTCTTTAAGGACTAGAATAGACTCCTATCCTGTCTCCAATAAAAAGCCATTTATTTGTCCTTGTTTGTCTCAGCTGAGTAATTAATTATATGTACTACATACATTGCATCCTATCAGCATGAATTCACTAAGATAAAAGCCTCCTGAAGACATTTCATTTTTTTCTCCTGAAGACCTGTAGACAATACCTATAACATGGAGCAGAGGAACCACAGTGGGCAAGTGAGTGAGTTTGTGTTGCTGGGCTTCCCAGTTCCAGCACCACTGCGGTCACTGTTGTTTTCCCTTTCTCTGCTGGCCTATGTATTGGTACTGATTGAAAACATACTCATCATTGTGGCAATTAAGAACCACCCAACCCTCCATAAACCCATGTATTTCTTTCTGGCTAATATGTCCTTCTTGGAGATCTGGTATGTCTCTGTTACTATTCCCAAGATGCTTGCTGGTTTTATTGGGTCCAAACAGAGTCATGGACAGCTAATTTCCTTTGAGGGCTGCATGACACAGCTCTACTTTTTCCTGGGCTTGGGTTGCACTGAGTGTGTCCTTCTTGCTGTGATGGCCTATGATCGCTATGTGGCTATCTGTCACCCTCTCCACTATCCTGTCATTGTCAGTGGCCGACTCTGTGTGCAGCTGGCAGGTGGATCCTGGGCTGGAGGATTTGGCATATCTATGGTCAAAGTTTTTCTCATTTCTCGCCTCTCTTACTGTGGTCCTAACACCATCAATCACTTTTTCTGTGATGTCTCCCCATTGCTCAACCTCTCATGCACTGACATGTCCACAGCAGAGCTTACAGACTTTGTACTGGCCATATTTATCCTGCTGGGACCACTATCTGTCACTGGAGCCTCCTACCTGGCCATTACTGGTGCTGTGATGCGGATCCCCTCAGTTTCTGGACGTCATAAAGCCTTTTCTACTTGTGCCTCTCACCTCACTGTTGTGATCATCTTCTATGCAGCCAGTATCTTCATCTATGCTCGACCTAAGGCGCTTTCAGCTTTTGACACCAACAAGCTGGTCTCTGTACTCTATGCTGTCATTGTACCATTGCTCAATCCCATTATTTACTGCTTACGCAATCAGGAGGTCAAGAAAGCCCTACGCGGTACTCTGCACTTGTACCAGGGCCAAGATACTAACCTCAAGAAATTTGACAGAAATGGGTAGAGGGAAGTGGTGAAGTCTAGCAAAATTCCCTTAAATGTAGGTTGGATTTATTCTAAGAAGTCAAGTGGAGTTCTCGGGGCCCAAGTTGGGGACTAGAGTTTCAAAGGCATCACCAAACTGGGAACACTTCCTATATTAGTCCAGGAGGAAGAAGCTGGAGGTTGGATTTCTGCATGTTATGGTTGCAAAATATAGGCTTGAGGCTGGTCCAGTATTGTCTGCACTATAATAGTTTACACAGTCCTGGTTCCATTCAAGGAAGTAGAGCACAGGATTCATTATAGAAATGCAACAGGAGATGTCTGGGTGAGATAATTCCAGCCACCATCCACTGACTGTAGCCTATGAGATAACAGAGGGCCCAAGAGGTGATCATTATGGTATGAGTTACAAAGCAAGGTGATAAGAAACTAAGAATTTTGTGTTGGCAAGATTCCTGGACTGCAGGGGTTTCTGGTTTCATATCTTAATTTACCAAGATCATGCCCACCTTGAACTAGTGTATGAATGCAGTTGTTTCTTTTATCTTCTGTCTCCCTAATTAGACTATAAGCATCATGGAGATAGGATCACATTTGTTTGTACATAATTTGATTACTGTAGCCCAGAACAGTATCTAGCATATGACAGCTATGAATAAATTCAGTAAATTAATATTTTTTGTAGCTATATAGGTAAGACATGCATACCTAAGGTGGGGTTGGCAGGTACAGGCATTAAACCCGTCAGACTTTACTAGGATATGGGAAGGTACAAAGTGGCTTAGTCTTGCTAGAGGAAAATTCAGCAATATGTATTACAAACTCTGAAATATTGAAAAGATTTGAGCATATATTAATTTATAAGATAAAACATGGAAATATGCTTAACTTCCACAAATAAGACATTGTTTAAGTAATGACAGACCATACAATAAATGGAATATTATGCAGTCATTGAAATAACATAATCTAAATAGAGTTAATGACAGAAAAAATCCTGATAGGTGAAATGATTAGGTTATGTAACAGCATCAAAACAATCAGCCTTATTTGTTTGTTTGTTTGTTTAAACTTGACTAGAAAAATTTTGATTAAAATGTTAGCTGGAACTATGCAATGGACCTCTTTTTCTTATGTTGCATTCTGCAGCAACCATTGTGACAGGCATATTTATTTAAACAAACTTCTCTTAGCCATTACAATACACAACTTTATTCACCTGAACAGAGAGCTAATGAGAGGGCAGAGCATTATAATTTTCAGACACTTAGATCTTCCTGTTTCTGTCAACATCCCAGAACCTTGAAGACAAAGACATCTCTATCTTTACATGTGGCATCCAACTGTTGTTGTCTTTTGTAGTTGTTTGCTACTTAATAAAGTTCATGAAAGTCTACTAGAAAGTATATGATGCAGTTTTCATTTTTGAAATGGGGTCTTGCTATGTTGCCTCGAACTCCTAGGATCAAGCGATTCTCCTGCTTCAGCCTCCTGAGTATGAGCCCAGCTACATCATGCATTCTTTTCTAGTGTATACTTACTAAAATTTTAATAAATATAAATATCTATTTGTGCCAAAATAATTATGTAAGTCTATAAGTATTTTGTTATAATACGTTTTAAAATGACTGAATATGAAATTTATCAAAAGTCTGCTTCATAACTGCCCCATAGAATAAGTTTCTGAATGGGGCAGTGATCTGGAATGGGAGTGTCCTCCTCTGGGTAGCACAATTGTCATTATTGTATGAATGTCCCTTAAAGGTTTATTCAAATTACTAGGAAGTAAAAACAAGATGTTGAATTTCTTCAGTGTGATTTCTTTATTTTCTTTTTTTATAATAAAATGCATTACTATTTCAAGTTAAAGAAACACTTCTAATTCTGACTTTAAAATTTGAAACCATAGAAGTGATGTTTAGCATAGTGTCCTATGTATATTCATATTTCTATAAACAATGACTGAGGAGACTGTTTATTCTATGTGAACTGTGATTGGATTGAGGCCTCTATTAAGGCTTGAATTTTGAAAGTCATGTGACTTCATGACTCACACTGGATTTGAGATCAATAAAACCTCCTAAGATTTTCCAAATGAATATTAGTTACATGATTAAGTTTTCTCCATCTTCCACTGACATGACTGATTTTTCACTCAAACATGGATATAGGATTTTATTTTGTCTCTGTTCCATTTGATGCTGCCTGTTTCAGTTCATCTTCATAATTTGTCTATTTTTCAAACTGTTGCAGAGACAATGTGATTTTTCACAATTCCACTTTGTGTGGGGACCACCAGTCTCTCCCATCCATACAGGAAATAGGAGAACTGGATCCACTTGGGCTTTTTAGCCAGGACAGTAATTCAGAGTGGCCAGAGGCAGCCACAGGCAAGCGAGGACCAACATAGATAATTTCTTTATTTTTTAAATTACTTTTTAATTAAAAAATGTTTTATTATCATATTATTGTTGTACTGGGTATGTTGTGACATTTACAAAAGTGTTTATAATATATATTAGTCAAATTCACTGCCTCCATCATGCTCCTTTATCCTCCCTCCCCCCTTCTGGAATAGTTTCAACAGGTCTTATTTTTCCATTTTTATACATGAGTACATAATATTTATGTGATAGTCACCTTCCTTCTCTTTTCCTCTATGTCCTTCACCTCCCACTGGTATCAAACCCCATATAGGACCTTTTGTAACCTTCCTATCCTTCGTTTTGGAAAAAACAAAAGACAATTTTGTTTAAGATAGCTACATAAGGAGTTTCATTGTGACATCTACATATATATATGTATTAAATCCCAAATTGGTTCATCACCTCCATATTTCTCCTTTCTAATTAGTCTCTCTTGTATGCTGATTTCAACTGGTTTAAACAGTATAAATAATTTCTGGGCTCAAAATGTCTAGTGGTGTCCATCAATGTTGAATAAACGCCAAGGTTTTTGTCTTCCTTTCAGGGTTTCTTCACAATGTACTGTTGACTTTTCTTTTGGTCTTTGATTTTTAGTCTCTTTTGCACCATAAACATTGTGCAGATGGATATTAATTGTGATTAACAGTATTTAAGTTAATAGTCCAATATACTTTACCATATGCTAGTATTTAACATTGAACAAAGTCAGAAATTATCTCTCAAGCTTTCCTGGATAGAAAAATGATAAAATCTGAGTAAAATGATAAAAATTTAATAAGAATATATCAATAATGGGAATATATTAATTTCCATTTCTTACTTTCAACCAGTACACATGGAATAAAAGATGATTATTTTAGGGGAAAGCAAAAACTGGGTGAGGAATATATGAGAAATATTTTTAGCAAATTTGTAATTTCTTTGTAAATCTAGTATTACTCCAAAATAAAAGAAACATTGAAAAATCACTAGTTTTTTTTAGACCAAATAATTTAATAGGGATGGTATGGAATGTATATATGAATCGAAACATGACATGGTACCTCATAAATATGTATAATTATTGTGTGTCAATTAAAAATATAAAAAATAAAAGTAAAACATGGGTTTTATTTTTAAAAAATAAGCAAAAAGCTGCATCTGTTGTCTTCTTAACACAATTGCACTGTTTTTGAATAATTTCTTATTGCATCATAGGAACTTATCAATGGATTGAGATTCAGTTTTCTTGTCCAGGTCCCTGGACATAGACTTGGAACACGGAGTTCCCCTAGGGTCAGGACAGACGGATGTAAGTGAGTCTCCTGAGAAAAAGACAGGGGAAAAAGGTAGGTGAATGCTAAGTGTGTTCTCCCATCTTTGCTTCTGTCTTCTTGCTGGAGTGCTGCAGTACCTACCATGCAGTCTAAACAAAGGCTACACATTGATTTTCAGATAATATGAACACATGAAAAGCAGGCTGCTTTCCTACTATCAGTGTAAATGTCTGAAGAATTTTCCATCTTTAGAAAGGGCACATGGACAATGGAGACGGGTTGGAGGTACTATGTGAAACTGGTTGATCTCTGAAGAAAGCTCCAAGGAAAATGAAGAGGAACTTGGTAAGATGTCAGTAGGCACCTTCCTGGGCAGGAGAAGGCTACTGAGGGAATTAATAGGGAAATGAAAATTCAGAGTATAGTATATCAATACCCAAGTTTGAGGAAATTTGGGCAGGTGCACTATCTCGATCATGTTCCTTGTTCTTAAAGAAACCTATTAGGATGTGTAGTTTTTTTGGGAACAAGCACACGTAGGACTTAAAAATGTTCTGCAGTACAATGATATAATTTCTTTCCTTAGATAACTGGAAGATCTCAAGGTTCAGTGCTCTTAGTTTGGAAAATAAGAAACTGTGGAAAATAGAATTCTGCATTCCTCCAGGCTTTAAAATAAAGCTTGCTGAGAGGCACATTTGTGACAAAGAATGGAGGAAAATATGAAGTGGCAAAGGTATCCTTGAATATTTGAGAACAATTGATTAGAATGAAGACAAGGAAGAAGGCATAAATGTCTAAACTTAAGAGCTCTTCAAAGGTGTTATAATTTCCTTTTCTCCAGGAATTCATTCACTTAAATACCTAGAATATAACAGGAAAAAATAAGCAAACATGAATTACTGAATTTATATTTCACATATTAATGAAATCGCATATGATTGAACATGTGTGAATGTAGTGATACATAATATAATAACAGTTAACACGGAGAATAACCATGAACCAAGTCCTCGTTGAGTGGTCTTACATTTTTATACTTACTTCTCACAACAAACCAGCTAAGTAGGCAACTGTCATTCCCAGTATAGAAGAGAATATTCAAGTACATAATTGCTAATAATCTGTTTAGGATGACACTACTACTAGCTTTGTTCTGACTCAAAAGTCAGTGTTCTTAAATTCTCTGCATGGGAGGATGTGGGGGAAAATTGCATGGCTGATAACTAAAATATGGAATATACCTGAAGAGGTGGAATCTCTACATTGGTGCTTCTTCCTATGGGGGCTAGAACATGGGAAACTCATTACTATGATCTCAGATCCAGTTGCTATCCCCAGGAAAGTATGTGGTCAAATACATCAAAGAACTTGGCCAGGAGCTACTTACTACATAACTACTTTAGTGGTGAAGGTGTTGTTTACGAGT